AGCCTGGAGTTTTCTCTCCCATCTATCAGGCCAACCACAGGACCCGGCCTTGGATCTCACTGGAGGAATAAAGAACTTTAATTACATGTTTATGTCTGTCCAGAAGAGCAGACGATGGGATTACCAAATGATCGTTTCTCAGAGAAAAAAAAAAGTCTTCCCCAAAACATGCCTGAAATCAATAAAGAAGCTAAAAAGTGAAATGATGAGTGGATAATAATTTAATTTAATTTCTTGCTTCTTAAATGTGATGTCATCAGAGAAAACAAAGTGCCACTTTTGGCTCTGTGGAAGTCCAACCAATTTTAGTGGTATGAGACAGAAAAACCACCCAATTGCCAGGATAAATCTTGGTATTGGACATCTCAGCAAACCACAAATTTCATCCTAACATGTCTGAGATAAAAGAACAACTAAAGTCATTCACAGATTTGTCACATTTTTACATGATTATGTAGTGGATATTTTAAAACTTTACTTTTTTTTCTCAATGATGTTGTGGTTAACATGTGGTCAGGTGCAAAATCCACTCAGTTATGGTTAGAGAAAGATCATGTTTTGGCCTAAAATACCCACTTTTGGTGACACAATCCCGGCTGGAAATGCTCTGTATCTTTGTAAAAAAAAAAAAAAAAACTGGCACCCACATTAAGTGGCTAAAAAGCTGCTGGAAACTATTGGGTTTGTTGTTTGTTAAAACAGTGGTCTGCAGCTTGCCCGGCATCTCGCCTAGGTGACACACCATCCACCATCCCCTACACCTCCCGATGACAAAGTCATCTTATATACTATTAGAAACGTGGATATTATATGTATGAAATGTACAAAATGTAGCGAATCCCGCATTGTCCATCCATCCATCCATCCATCCATCCATTTTCATCTGCTTATCTGGGGCTGGGTCGCGGGGGCAGCAGGCCGAGCAAAGCACCCCAGACGTCCCTCTCCCCGGCAATGCTTTCCAGCTCCTCCTGGGGGACCCCAAGGTGTTCCCAGGCCAGACGAGATATGTAATCCCTCCAGCGTGTTCTGGGTCTGCCCCGGGGCATCCTACCAGTGGGACGTGCCTTGGACACCTCCAGCGGGAGGCGCCCAGGAAGCATCCTAGTCAGATGCCCGAACCACCTCAACTGACCCCTTTTGACACGAAGGAGCAGCGGCGATGTCTGAGTTCCCTCCGGATGTCCGAGCTCCTCACCCTATCTCTAAGGCTAAGCCCAGACACCCAGCGGAGGAAACTCATTTCCACCGCTTGTATCCGCGATCTCATTCTTTCAGTCACTACCCAGAGTTCATGACCATAGGTGAGGGTTGGGACATAGATGGACCAGTAAATTGAAAGCTTTGCTTTCCGGCTCAGCTCCCTCTTCACCACGAAGGACCGGCGTAGCGCTGATAAGTAATGCCTGCACTAATAATGTGAGGTGTGTGTGAGCTGGATGCCAGCGGCCGTTTGGTTTTGTAGAGAAAACTCTTAATTCTTTGATGTAGGTTTAAGGTCTTGTTTTGAAGGAGTGTCAGAGTGTTTGCTGTCTCTGCAGCTGAAGTGAATTTACACTCTCACAACTAATAGTCTGTCCTGTGTCTCTGAAGCCTGAAACTTCTCATTTTTCTTTCTCACTTACTTTTAATATCTGGATAATGATAGACTGCACTAGAGCAGTGGTTCCCAACTGGTGGTCGCAAGTCCATTCTGAATGGACCACAAGTGACTCACAAACGTGTCAAGTTTGTGCACACTTCATTTTTCAGTACAGTAAATTTTCCAGCTTAGAGTTTTTATTTTGAAGTACAGTTTCCTGCTATAGAGTATCTTTAAATAATTAGATCAGACCTCTGCCGGGGGCTCTGGGGATTCCTCCTCTGGTACTTTTTATAAACAAGCAATAGTCTGACGCTTTTTTGCACTCTGGCACCTTATTTGCACCGAAAGTACAAATAAAATCCAGTGTGAATCAGTTCATTTTCATTGTGAATTAGGAAACGATCAGTTGGCCACCTGACATCCTATTACGGGCCAGATTTTTTTTTTTTTTTTTTTAACATCACTTCATTCAATTTATTCAAGTTCATTATCATCAAGGGACTGTAACAAACAAAGTAAAGCAAAGCAAAAAGGACAAATATTGTTTAGTTTTTTGCTTTTCAGATGTGACAATTTGCTGCTTTTCTTTTTTATACATTCATGGTACAAATATTAAAAAGGGTCACAGAATATAAGTACCTAGGTAATTGGTTAGATGATAAGTTAACCTTTAAATATCATGTTTCCAAGCTGGTGACTTCTTTACAAATGAAAATTATTTTATAGAAATAGACTCTCCTTTCCGCTGCATTGTAGAAAGATGCTTGTTAGGGGAACTTTTTTTATCAGTCTTAGATTATGGTGATATTTTATGCATGCACACCTCAGCTGCCACTCTGAGGCCCCTGGACTCTGTGTATCATTCTGCCTTAAGACTCATCACTGGAGATAGACACCCATCGTTTTGATTTCTATGCCAAGGTTGGGTGGCCCTCTGTCTGTGTAAAATGTGAGACACTGAGTTTTTATTTATTTATAAAGCTCTTATCAGTCTTTTACTTTCTTATGTCAGTTCGATGCTACAGTCAGGTCCATAATTATTTGGACAATGATACAGTTGTCATCATTTTGGCTCTGTACACCACCACAATGGGTTTTAAATGAAACAATGAATACCTGCTTAAAGTGCAGACTCTCAGCTTTCATTTAAGGCTTTTTTCAAAAATGTAGTATGAACCGTGTAGGAATGACAACCATTTCTTCACACAGTCCCCCGACTTTAAGGGCTCATAAGTATTTGGACAAACTAACATAATCATCAATTAAACAGTCAGTTTTAATACTTGGTTGCAAATCCTTTACAGTCAATGACTGCCTGAAGTGTTGGACACATAGACATCACCAGATGCTGGGTTTCTTCCCTGGTGATGCTCTGCCAGCCCTTTACTGCAGCCATCTGCACTTCCTGCTTGTGTTTTGGGTGTTTTGCCCTCAGTTTTGGCTTCAGCAAGAGAAATGCATGCTCAATTGGATTCAGGTCAGATGATATGACTTGACCATTACAGAACATTCCACTTCTTTGCCTTAAAAATGTCTTTGGTTGCTTTTGCAATATGCTTCAGGTCAATGTCCATCTGCACTGTGAAGCATCGTCCAATGAGTTTTGAAGCATTTGGTTGAATCTGAGCAGATAATGGTGCCCCAAACACTTCAGCTTTCATCCTGCTGCTCTTGTAAGCAAGACAAGACTTCACTAGAATAAATACAGAGGGTTTATCACAAGATGCAAACCATTGGTTAGCCTTAAAAATGGAAGGCCAGATTAGAGTTTGTCAAAAACCATCTAAAAAGCCTGTACAGTTGTGGAACAGCATAATATGGACAGATAAAACAAAGATCAACTACCAGAATGATGGGAAGACAAGAGAAGGAAGAAGGGAAGGAACTGCTCATGATCCAAAGCACACCACATCATCAGTGAAGCATGGTGGAGGTACTGTTATGTCATGGCCATGTATGGCTGCCAGTGGAACTGGTTCTCTTGTATTTATTGATGATGTGACTGCTGACAAGAGCAGCAGGATGAAAGCTGAAGTGTTTGGGGCACCATTATCTGCTCAGATTCAACCAAATGCTTCAAAACTCATTGGACGATGCTTCACAGTGCAGTTGGACATTGACCTGAAGCATACTGCAAAAGCAACCAAAGACATTTTTAAGGCAAAGAAGTGGAATGTTCTGCAATGGCCAAGTCATATCATCTGACCTGAATCCAACTGAGCATGCGTTTCTCTTGCTGAAGCCAAAACTGAGGGCAAAACACCCAAAACACAAGCAGGAAGTGCAGACGGCTACAGTAAAGGGCTGACAGAGCATCACCAGGGAAGAAACCCAGCATCTGATGATGTCTATGTGTCCAACACTTCAGGCAGTCATTGACTGTAAAGGATTTGCAACCAAGTATTAAAACTGACTGTTTAATTGATGATTATGTTAGTTTGTCCAAATACTTATGAGCCCTTAAAGTTGGGGGACTGTGTGAAGAAATGGTCATTCCTACACGGTTCATACTACATTTTTGAAAAAAGCCTTAAATGAAAGCTGAGAGTCTGCACTTTAAGCAGGTATTCATTGTTTCATTTAAAACCCATTGTGGTGGTGTACAGAGCCAAAATGAAGACAACTGTATCATTGTCCAAATAATTATGGACCTGACTGTATATCTAGTTTTCATATGTACACCTGCAACGTGGAACAACATGCAGAACAATTTAAACCTTTCTCAATTTTATCCATAGGGCAATTCAAATCTTTAATTGTATCATATTTTACTCATATGTGGTCCTGTTTTACCTGATTAATGTGCTCTGCATTTTAAGAGTTTTTATTTATCATTGATGCTTTAATTTATTTATTTTTCAATATTTTTAATTGTGGTTTTATTGCTTTTTACTTCTAATTGCCACTTTTATGTAAGTTTCTCTTTGTTTTTTTCTGTGTCTAAGTGCTTTTAATTTATATTGTTTTATTTGGCTACATTGTAAATGAGGTCTCTACCTCAATGTATTTCCAAGTTAAAATAAAGGTTGAATGAATGAAAGTAATTTGAAGATATCACTTTTGGCTCTGGGACATTTTGAAAAAAAAAAAAGTCTTAACTTTTCTCCTAGATTTGTTGATGAAATGATTTTTCACTTTTTGCTAACATTTTTTTTTTAGAGAAAATGATTATCACTAAAATTGAAAAAATAATGTGGTTCTTCATTTATGATGTAAATAATTATTAGTTGCAGCCCATTCAGAAATCTTATTTCATTTTTATGTGAAACTTAAGCTTGTTTTTTTTTTTTTTTTTTTTTTTTGTGACACCTTTTCATTTATCCAGCGTGGATTCTCTTAGACTTTATATATTTTATGTATGCGTTTTATGTAATTACAAGTGTGTGTGTGTGTGTGTGTGTGTGTGTGTGTGCAGGCCGCGGGGACCTCCAGCCTCAGCTGGACAGCGCCATGCAGGATGTCAGTGATAAGTACCTGCTGCTGGAGGAGACAGAGAAGCAGGCAGTGAGGAAGGCACTGGTGGAGGAGAGGAGCCGCTTCTGCTACTTCGTCTCCATGATGAAGCCCGTTGTGGTCAGTCACACCTCTGTTTACACACACACACACACTGACTACACGTATAAATAAAACAGCAACTCTATGAACTGGACTGTGGCTGTTCAGAGTTAATGCTTCACCAACAGTTTCTCTTCTGAGAAAACACCTGCAGACCTGAGAGGTGGTTTGTAGTTTACATATTAATGGAGGTCAGCAGCTGTAGTTGGGTTGGAATCTTCTCCTACATCGTGATCCAAACACTTGCTGCTTCTCCAAAACATGGCTGCATACAGAGCTTCAGTACTGTAGTAGTATTGCTGCAGAGTTTGGAGCCTGCTGATGAATCTGTGTGTCATCAGGAGGAGGAGATGTCCATGCTGGGGGAGATCACTCACCTCCAGACTCTGACAGACGACCTGAAGACACTAACCATGGACCCTCACAAGCTGCCCGCCTCCAGCGAGCAGGTACAACACATCCCCTCACCTGCATCTGTTACATTATTATGTTGTTCAGAGGTTCCCTGGAGTCTCCTCTTTCTGTCTCTTTGCAGGTAATTGTCGACCTTAAGGGCTCTGAGTGTGCCTGGTCCTACCAAACTCCGCCCTCGTCACCAAGCACCACCGTATCCAGGAAGTCAAGCATGTGCAGGTTGGTTACCATGGCTACTGAAACTTCCCATTATCTCAGCAAACCTCCCAAACAAGCTGAAACATGTCATTTTACCCTGCCTGTCATCTGCTGCCTCCCTGTGGTCCATGGGTGGAACTGCTGGTTTATTTTTTAGTAGTTGAATTTTGTTGTACTCAGAGTAGTGAACTACATTCCTTTCTGTTGTATTAATATTTAAGGGGAGTTGCAACTGATGCATTTCTTTTTCTACTTTAACACTGTTGAATCCTGATCGGTATAATTCCAGTAGTTTCTTCATGGCAGCTATTTTTGGTGTGAGTTGTCAAGTGTTTGAGATAGCAGCTGTAGAGATGTCTGACTCCTTTCCAGTATAAGAAAACTAAATGGCACTCGGCTTGTGGTTGTTCACAGCACCAAAACAATACATTAAAAAAAACTCAACATCAATGTCTCTTTCCAGAAATCATGATCTGGTTACTCAAGATAATCTACACACCTTATTGTGAGCAGTTTCATGTAAAAATGAAGGAAAAAAAAGAAAGAAGTGTGCATCCACTAATGGACAAGAGGCTTGTGCACATTGCAGTGCGAGATGTAAATATTAAGGGCCAGGACACATGCAACGCCTTTTACCACCTGGAAAACATGACGTCAGGTGCTGGGTCTTACACTTGTGCCAGCTTTCAAGAGTGTGGAGGCAGGTTGCTTCTGAGGTCGCTAAGTGACCATAACCAGAACTGTATCATAGCCCACTTATCAGAAGTCCTGAGTGCACAGCTGATCTTCTTTCAGGCGCTGTTTCTTAATTCAATTAAATTTTATTTATAAAGCCCAATATCACAAATCACAATTTGCCTCAGAGGGCTTAGGAAGGAAAAACTCCCCCCAAAAAAGTGTGTATTGGACCTAAAATATTATCTGTGGGACAGATTATTGTTAATTGTAAAGTTTCGTCATCTAAAACACTTGCCACACATCCCTGCTCAGCTCAGCCTTAGTAGTCTTTTTCACGCTTGGGTTAATACATGTATGTATTTCCCAAGCTATTAAGAGACGTTATCAAAAACATTAACTTATTGGTAATCAACCTTTGGAAAAACTGAGTGACCTCTCCATACAGACCTGGTGACCTGACCATACAGTAGAACCATCTCACATTTTCTACCTTGAATTGACTCCCATGTCATCCTTCCCCTCTCCATCCTACAGCAGCCTCAACAGTGTGAACAGCAGTGACTCTCGCTCCAGCGGCTCACACTGCCACTCCCCAACCTCCCATTTCCGTTACCGTGCCTCCTCCTCCTCTTCCTCAGTGCTCCCCCAGCAGACACCAGCCCGCCTCTCCTCGGTCTCCTCCCACGACTCTGGCTTCATCTCCCAGGACGCCTTCCAGTCCAAATCACCATCACCCATGCCCCCAGAAACCTCACAGGTAAGGAAATACCTAAAACACTGAAAAACAAACTTATTAGCTGAATAAGAAAATTGGACACGTGAAAAATGTACACTCTATCCCAACCTCCAAGCAGGAAACTGGACGATAAGCTTTATACCTTTAGCCCTTTACTTAGATTTTAAGACCTCAATGCCACTTCTAATCAGTAGCTTACATCAGCAACAGACTTGAACTACCATTTACTGTACACCGATTGTAAGACAGTACAACTAAATAGCAAACAAACATAACAAAATATAGTATAACAAAGAAAGTCAAGACAAAGTATAGTATGCCATAAAAATGTTGTTTAAAAAAAAGTCTTAGTATTGAATTGCATTAAACATTATAAAAAGTCATAGAATAAGATGCCTTTAACTAATCATAAAAGTCAAAGTGTGCTATGTCATAAAAAAATCATAATCAAGTCATAGTAAAGTATGTCACAAAAAATCATGCAAAGTCATAGAATACTATGTCATAAAAAAAATTATAAAAAGTCAAAGTTTAGTATGCATTAAAAATCATGAAAAGTCATAGTATAATTTGTCATAAAAATGTATGGACAGTTATAGTATATTGTTATTGTTATTATTGTTGTAAAGTTGGTGTTAAAGTGCCAGTGTGTAATATTTGGCATGGTTTATTATCAATCTGAATCTGAATATTCTACCCATTAATATGTTTATACAAGTGTATATAGCTATAAAATAAAATTCGTTTGGTTTTCGTAGCCTTATAATTATGCTTTTATATATATATATATATATATATATAGCAAGGGCCTTGCTTTAGAGAGATCGCCATCTTGCGCCGCCATGTATGTACGGCAGACCGAGTGGACAATCCAGCCAGCCAGAGAACGCGTTTCGCGTGTATAAATAAACCAACGAAGACAGCGGAAGGAAGGAAGAAGGAGGAGGAAACAGCAGAGAGTGTTAGTAGTTCGTCGATAGAGAGTAGTGAAAAGTTTTTTTAGTTATAAAGTTTGCGAATGGACCACACTTACCACACAACAGGAGAGAATGAACCCGAACCGTCATCTGCGAGGAAAAGAAGACGCAGCTTCACTCCTTGTGATGCACTCTCTGCGGCGCTTTTCCTCCTGATGATATATCTCCCAACAATGGTAGCACCGAATCCCATAATGTGCATTCAGCCTCTCTTCTCACCCGCTCAGCATCAAACACATGGAGTTCCTCATCTGTATGCTCCGGCTCAAACAGGTATGGCTCTGGGTCTGTGTCTGCTACAAGAAACTCTTCAAAATCGCGTTCAAAGTCGTCCATTGCAGCTACTATATTCCGGAGATATCGCTAGGCTAAATAAACAGCTGAGCTCTGTTTACCGGCTACCCTATCAGTCAGTGTGCGGGCTGGAGATTGGTGGAGCAGAGAGGGGAGGGTGTCCCCACTGAGTATGGTAAACGAGTATGTGTGTAAAGTTATGAAGTGTGTCTGTTACGCTAGAAGAGTCAGAGTTTGGGATGGAGTGGAGTGTTACCGGAGTTTCTGGAGTGCTCAAATAAAAGGGCCTTTTTCCCGAACGCTCCTCTGGTCTCCTGCTCGTGAGGGATTCATTACAATAACATGGTTTAGATTTCTAAATAAACATTCACCTCGTCGCTAGATAGACCTACTCCTGAAAAAGTCGTGCGCAAGGCTTTTTGTCCCTACAAGGCCACCGTCATTTACCCGACAGGAGGGGTGAGCGAGTGAGCCCTGCAATCTAGAATTTGACCACTGATGTCACTGTTTTCAACCCATTTTACACACTGGGCCTTTAAAGTATTTATTAAAACCTCACAAAAAGTCATAGTATATTATGCCAATGGAAATCATAAGAAAATCTACTTATATTATCTCACAAAAAGAAATCACAAATTTATAGTAAGATGTACCATTTACAATCATAAAAAACATAATATGTATGCTATGTAAAATGATTTGAAAAAGTCACTGTAAAATATGCCCTAAGAATCATAAAAAGTCATGATATGTCATTTTAAGAAAAAACATTTTTGAAAAAAAGTGTAGTATAGTGTGTGTAGAATACTAGAAAGGATTAATTAAAATTTTCATAATATACTGTGTCATAAAAAAGGTCATTTTAAAAAAAGTCTTGGTGTAGGATGTCATAAAAAATCATTAAAATGTAATTGATTTTATGTCGGAAAAGTTTCACGAAAAAAACAACAACAAAAAAATCTTATAGTTTGTTGAAAAATTTCATCATAAAATGTCATAGTATAGTATGTCAAAAGAAGAAATTAAATTAAAATATTAAAAGATGTCATATTATAGTATGCCATAAAAAATTAATCAAAAAATGTCATAGCATAGTTAGTTAAAACATTTCACCAAAAAATGTCATATAATAATATGTCATAAAATTTTCATCAAAAAAATGCCCTAGTATTTCAAAAGAATTCACTAAAAGATGTCATAGAATAGTATGCTCTAAAAATGTCATCAAAAAATATCATAGTATAATATGGCAAAAAAATGTCATCTTAAAATGCCATGGTATAGTAAGTTGAAACATTTCCCTAAAACATGTCATAGTATAGTATGCATTAAATTTTTTGTTGAAAATGTCATAGTATAGTGTGTTGAAAACTTTCACTAAAAGATGTCATCGTTTAGTATGTTGAAAAATTTCATCAAAAAATGTCAAAGTATAGTGTGTCGAAAAATGTCATTAAATTACGTCATAGAGTACTATGCCCTAAAAATGTCATCAAAAAATATCATACTGTAGTACAGTATGTTAAAAAATGTCACTAAAAGATGTCATAGTATAGTATGTTGAAAAAATTCCAAAAGAATGACATAGTATGGTATGTCATTAAAATTTCATTGAAAGAGTCATAGTCAAGTACAGCCATAATTTTTTTAATCAAAAGTCATATATTAGTATGTCATAAAGATGTCATTAAAACATGTCATAGCATAGTGGGTCAGTAAAATATCATTAAAAACGTCATAGTATGGTATGTCACGAAAAAATGATAAAGTCATAAGAAATGTCAGGAAATAAGTAGGAATATACTATTCCATTACCAAGACCTCAGACCAAAATACATATTGGGAATTTTTGGCACGTACATAACCCAAAACAATAGTCAAGGACATCTCATTGTTTGTAGGAGTTTTAGGCTTAATTTTAAATTTTCAGGCTCATGACTTTAAAGCTGGATTAAAGAAGTCCAGCATGTTGTCAGTAAGTTCAGGACTTTTCAGGTGATACCATACCATAACCTTTGACATCCATCCCACGCCTAACTTCAATCTTAACCTAAGCCTAAACAAACCCCCTGTCTATGATGTATATTCTGTGCACTTATCACAGTCCTCAGCTTCTCACTCCACCTCCTGAACCTGCCTCTGCTTCATTTACCACTTCTTTGTGCTGCAGCAGCTGTTTATGTTGTTTTAATTCTTTTGCTTGGCCAACATTGTGCTGAACTGATATTAACACTGACGTGCTGTTTTTATTAATAACTTGTTTCATGCTTCTGCCTTCCTTTTTCTGTCTGTTTATCTCTCTCTTGGTTTATTTGGCTGCCCCTCTGTGTGTGTGCTTTGCATGGCTGTGCTGCAGTCGTGTGTCTCTCCTTTATCTGAGGAGCCTTCTTCTTCCTCCTCCTCTTCCTCACCCTCACACAACGAGCCCCACTCTGGGCTACAAGAGGTGAACATCTACACGTGAAAACACACACACACACACACACACACACACACACACACACACACACACACACACACACACACACACGTCTGTAAGGTTTGAGGATCAGTCAAGCCAGTGTCACACACTCTGGTCTCTTGTTATTTTGTGCTATGAAGTGCATGGAGTTTAGAGCATCAATTCATTTTCAGAATAGTGTTGATTGCTTTTGCTACATATAGCACCTCCACATCCACTCCTGTGCATTATGTTTTTTTCACATCCTCAACAGTCATTTGTCATCTTTGTTTTTTTAATTGTTTTTCTGCTTCTTCTTCATCCACTCACCTTCAGTTGTCAAATGGTTTTGACCATCACGCTGCCCTCTGTCTGCACGGAGTGGTACTACAGGCCCAGGACACCCACCTCCAACCTCCATACTTCACCTACTCCTCCTCCACCACCACCTCTCCTATTTCCTTGCCCTCCTGTTCATCTGTGTCTCCCACATGGTCATGGTGTCGCTCTGGCTGTGGCCAGTCAGGAGAGTTCCTGCCTCTCAGTCCCCCAGGGCTCGCAATGATCCCGTCATCCAGAGTCCCGTCCTGGAAGGTTTGACCCTCATCCTCCCTGATGTCCTCCTTCACCAATTTTTATCCTCCTTTAATCTTCCCCCTTTTTTCCCTCTGTTTTTTGATTTTGCTTTGTTTATGTCCTTTCATATTACTTCTTTTATCTTTTAAATTCTATTTTCTTTCTTTGAAAGCAAACACTACAAAGATAACTTTTATCAGTCTATTCTGTTTTGTCTTATTCCCTCATGAATCTGTCAGCTGCATGATTTACAAGCAGACCTTAAAACACACTGACAATTTACACAAAGCCTTGCTCTGAACTATAATAACACTGAGCCTAATTTTGCTGTAATTTCATAATTTATTTTTATAATTTTGACATCAGATTTTGCCTACAAATCTAATTCAATTGTTTTTTTGCAAAAAATTCCAAATATATAAGTGTGCCTACTCGTATTTGTTCATATTGTCATAAGATAAATATTTTAAAAAACTAATCTAATCTAATTATTGGCAAAACAATCAATGATGAATCTTTGTTGAAAATGTTGCATCTCCACAATGCTAAATCCACAACCTTAATTTTGCTGTTGTTTCTTAATCTAATCTTAATCTGTTATTTGTAGTGTTTTATCATTTAGTCTAAGCAATGTTAAAGTGAAGGACACACTCCATTCAGTTACCAAACACAAACATGACCAACAGTCAAAAAACCCAAACGTGACTCAGTTTCAAGAGACATGTGACGGAGAAAAGCAGCAGAGTGTAATGCTGCATTGTCTCGCATCATATCTATCTGTAGGACTGGGCCAAACCAGGCCCTTATGACCAGTCAATGGTCAACACCCTGAAGAAGAGCAAAGACAGGAGAGAGATTACAGATCCCAGCAGCCACCAGGGCACTGACATCACCACATCAGGAGAGGAACCACAGGGGGTTAAAGGACGCCACTCTGTGACATCATCCAAGGTCAGATGGTCTTCGAAAAACATTTTTATTTTGTATTTTGTCATATAAATGTCACATGACTTTCTGGCAGCTTTTTGATACGACAGAATTTTGGTAATGGGCCAGCTCTGATGGACAGAGATTCAAAACACATCTAAATGAGCAGTGGAGTCCGTTTTCAGATGTCTTTGTGCTGTCAAATCAGTGAATCCCAGAAAAACACAACAAACTAATAATGTCAATGTGTGTGTGTGTGTGTGTGTGTGTGTGTGTGTGTGTGTGTGTGTGCTTGTGTGCTTGTTGACTCAGCAAGAGGATAAAGAGGCCCACGAGGAGTTGGCCCGAGCGCTGGCCCGAGGCCTCCAGCTAGACATCCACGGCTCCAGCAGAGACTCACTGCAGGGCTCCAGTGGCTACAGCAGCCAGACCAACACACCCTGCTGTTCAGAGGACACCATCCCCTCACAAGGTACACACACAAGTCATGCTTCCATTAAATATTTTAAAACAGTAACATACAATGTACAAAATTTTTCACCTTTGTACAGGTGCCAAGACTGCATAAAGCAGTCCATCAGAGAAAAAAGTCATAAAACAGTGTCAAAAATGCTGTCATAAAAAATTCATAGTGTAGTATGCCATTAAAAAAATAAATTAAAAAAGTAATTTATAATATGCCATAAAAAAGTCACAGCACAGTATGACAAAGTTTTAAAAACAAGCCATAATACAGTACACTATAAAAAATGTGCTACATATACATATATAT